CTTTCATATACATACATGTGTTTACACACAATACATATTCACACATGCGTACACACATCACATCACATCTCTCTCTCTCTCTCTCTCTCTCTCTCACTCTCTCTCTCTCTCTCTCTCTCTCTCACACACACACACACACACACACACTGTTAAAAAATCAGGTACATGAGAAGACAAAGATATCAACCAATGATCATTCACTGGTCCTGTAGTCTGAATCAACTAATACATTTGGGACTCAGGATTAAGATATTCTAGAAGTATGAACGATAAAAGGAATTGTCTGGCTCTCAAGGTAATGGAGAGGATGCTCTGGAGAGTGCATTAGTATGCAAGCAGGACAGAGAGGCTGAGGGGAGAAAGCACCTGTTCTGTTGGGAGAAAGGAAAATTTTGGCCAGCAGGGCCCCTCTGTGACTGCCACCCGATGCGCCCTCTGGTGGCCACTGCAGTACAGCGATTCAGTGAGCATTCCCCAAGTCGTGACTGATGCATGATCCCGACTCCCGTTTCTCCCACTTTAAAGATGTAGAACCTTTGACCTGTGCTCTCAGCGATCTCTTAGTACAAATCAACTGACTGCTCAGGTGGAGAATGGGTGAACATGAACACACCTGTGTCAGCTTCCTGACAGCCAGCTCTCAGGCCCAGTGCAAGGGGATCACACACTTCAAGTGTCAGGGGGCCGACAGAAGAGAACTAAATCCACCCGCTTCTCAACTGACCTTTGGTGTTGCTTAGAAGGAATGAGTGGAGGCCTCGTAAATGAATGCTTGCCGAGGAGTAAATGGTTACTCGCTCCCTGTGTTGTTTGTTTCCTATAGTTGTGGACTGGACAAAACTTAAATAATAGAAATGAAAATATATTCTATTTCACAGATTTTAAATTATCTTTAAATGAAGGGATAGTTTTGTTTATCAACAAGAACCACAAAAATCACAGTCAGCTTGGGCTCGCTCTAGGAAGCTGAAGGCGAGAGGTGGTGGCTGCAGGTACTTCCTCCCTTAGGAACAGGGTGTCATTGCTAGGAGGCAGGGTGCTGATGTGATAGGTAGAAGAGTGGTCGTGATCACCATTAAAACAACTTTCTAACCAGGAAAAGCAGACCTCAATCTGACTCCGGAGAGAGCTGAGGGGTGAAGGAAATTGAGAAGGATGAATCTTCTTTTGGGGTTATTGAATTATGTTTTTCTTAGACAACCATGGACTATAGCATGGGTCACATGCTTTCTGAATTCCTTTGAGTAAACTGTGATTCCACATTGCATAAAAGGCAAACGAGACTGGATTCCTTCTACTGGCTAGTGTGGAGTTTGATAATGTAGTGGCTATGACTTTCTTGTCATTTTCACAAGGCAATTTGTTCTATCATGGCTCTTAAATTTTTGTGGCTGGATTAGTGTAATCAGTAATTTGAAACCTAGAAAGGAGGACGTGAAAAGGTGTGCTTATGAGTGGATGACATGACAGTACTCTCCTGCAGAGGGCAGCAAAACTGCACTTCTCGGTGCTGAAATTCCACAAGCCTGTTGACAGACATACTTTGACCTCATCATTCACACCAGTACAGGTTAAACATAGCATTTGTGATACACATATTGATATTTTATGGAAGGCCCACTTTGTGAAAAAGAGAAATATTTCTTCCTTTTCTTAGACACAGAACTTATATTTGCTTTGTCTTAGGAAACACTATTTGAACAAGGCCCCTTGTGTGAGTGAGTGGCTATGGAGAACCAATAAAGACTCTTTCCTCCGAGGTTACAGCTTTTATAATCACAAAGCCACTGGGCTTGACTGGGTTATCCTGGAGATGGCTTGTCCATCTATGAATGTAAAATAGATTTTCAAAATATGTATTTCCCAGAGCTGCACAGAACTTGATGATTGGCCTGGGAAAATGGGAACTGAGAGTTGAACCCATTCCTGCCCATTGCTATCAAGGGAATTTGAATTATTATTTATTTATTTATTTTTCTAGGTGATTACAGGTGAAAATTCTCTTTAGCGCTGATCACATTGCCTTCTGGTACCCCCTCCATTTCTTGCTGCCCAGGTCTGTATTTTCAGACAATGGTCAGTGAACGTTGAACATATTTCATCATAGTGAATCTGAGAAACTGTTCTTAGTTTTCAACTCTTTAAAAGTTTTATAAAAATGAACATTCTTCACATTTGTCAGGAACTCCTAATTCTTTATAAATCTCTGTGCTAGTCCCATGTGGAGATGAACTATACAGAGTAAAAAGATGTATAAACAATATCTTAGTGTATTCAATGAATGTATAATTTCAGTGGAGTCCTAAGAATAGCACACAAGCAAACAGGAATAACCACAAACGTCCAAGTCTCAGATACAGGTGAGTGAATGGCGTGTACCTGTTTGACAGGCTTCTGAAGAAGTGAAGGCCAGTGATTGAGGCCCCGTGGAAAGGTACACCCAGATGGAAGCTGAGTCCTAAAAGTGCAGGTAGGATTTGGGCACAAAGAGAAAGACACTGTGAGAGCAAGCTGTAGAAAAATGTGCATTCAGAAAATAGATAAGCAGAATCACAAACTTGGTAGTGGTAGGGGTTAAGGTTGGAGAATTAACAAGGACTTGGAGCTGTAGAAAAAGATGGACTATGCAACATTTTTGAGTATGAGGATAATGAAAGGGTAACCAAGTGTGCTAGTTTTGTTGACATAAACTAGTTACCTGAGAAGAGGAAACTTCAGCTGAGGAATTGCTTCAGTTAGATTGGCCCAAGGCCATGTCTGCCAGGCACTTTCTTGGCTGGTAATTGATACAGGAGGACACAGTCCACTGTGGGCATCACCATCCCTGGGCAAGTAAGCCTGGAGTATATGGCAAAGACAGCTGAGCATAAGGTTGCGAGCAAGCCAGTAAGCAGCATCTCTCCGTGGTCTGTGCTTCAGTCTCCAGGTTCCTTCCTTGAATTCCTGCCTTGGTTTCTCTAGATAATGGGCTCTGACCTAGCTGAAATAACCATGGCATCTGGAAATTGTTTTTGGCCATGGTTTTATCACAGCAAAGGAAACCCACATGGACCACTGCATTTCTGGAAAACCAACCTCTCTTCACTTCCATTGTTGTGCAAACCTCCACGAGTCCGCAGAGTAGCAGAGAGGGCAGGAACACTGGACAGTGGCCCCTTTGACTTGTGAACCATGCAAATTATTGCTGCGATTGAGCTGAATCGTGTTTTCAAAATTATATAATAGCATGTTCTAAGAAAGTAGGCTAGGAAATAACGAATGTGCTTAAATTTCTATCCT